GCAATTTTTTGAAAAGCTATGAAAAATGTTCAGGATTTGGGTCACTGGCCAAAGAAGAGCTCTCGGGTCAGGGAATCAACATTTGATAATGCACTGAATGCAGCTGAAAGCTGTTTAAATTTGTAATTTTTTATGCTGTAGTGTTAATACTGTAGTACTCCATGCACTAGGAAGCCCTGAAACCAATAATACTGCAACAGCAGCAAGTCTGGAATAGGAAGGAACTTGACAAGGATCCCCAACTGCTCCCATCTGTGTTACTTCAGAGGAGCCACATAAAGGTAGGAGGCCTCTCCTCACAATTTCATGGGGAAGTAAAAGCAGAGTTAAGCTCCGGTTGGTCATTCCCTAGATCGAGCAGGCTACTTTCCTCACAAAAAAGCAGGAGAGCCTCCTTTTGCCCATCTTCCGAAGTTAAAAACACCTAGTGCCATGACAAATAAATGGGAACCCGTGTAAGAATACTAGGTTCTCTTCTACTGACTGAGGTTGATAGTTGGGAACAAAAACACAAAAAATCCCACGGCTCTAAACTTGCCAATTTCTAACTTGCGAAGTCAAGCATTCAATCAAAAGAGCATTTTAACTTTTTAAAAAATATAGCTGTATATGGAACATGCAGTAATAAGGTCTACTATATCAGTGTTTCTCAATCCCTGGGTTGGGACTCGAAACTGGGTCACAAGAATATATGAAAGGGTCCCGAACAAACTTTAAAAATGGATCAACAAACTTTAAAAGTGAATTCTTCTTTTAAAGGCAAAAACATGAGAAATAGTAACAGCTTGCTTCGCTTGCAAGCTGTCAAGAGTTTCAGCCTGAAAGGGGCTGCTTGGAGCCCCACCCCCCATGCCCCATGCACACCGACCCCCTGGGGGGAAGGGGGCAGGAGTGAGGGGCACTGGGTCAGGACTGGCCACTTATGTTTACAAATGGGTCCCAGTATAAAAAAAGGTTGAGAAGCACTATTCTACATTATAAATACACATGGTGGTACTAAGGCAGAGCAACCTAAACAAAGCCAGTCTTCTTATAGTCTAAACACTTCTGTGCTGTTACCATTTGTATCCTTAAAAAAAGGTATTCTTTACATTTTTATTATGACCTCTATCCAACAAAGATTAAGCTAATAAAAATAGTCAAACAAAATGGAAAACAGCTTAAGACAACTGAAAAATGTATAGGCAAGGCATCTCTATGCCTTCCAAATATGTTCAATACCCCCAACATTCCCTGCAGAATACCTTATTTTCTCTCATACAACATTCCCCCAAATAAAGAAGATACTTTGTTTTTAGAAGGCAGAATGTAGAAGAAAAGATTTTTTCCCCCCGAGTCACAACCAGCTGTGACACGTCCTCCTGGAAACAGTGTCCCGGAAACATGGCACCAGGAATTTCCTGTTGCTAGCAGTCCATCTCCTGCCATACCACACTTCATGGATACTATCCTCCCAGGAGGACTTACTCTATGTCACATAAAACTAGGCCCCAGACCCTTATAAGGAGAGTAGCAAGAAGGGTTGCCAACCCAAGATCATTTTTTAACTGTCCACTATGTAGAACAGTCCACTGGAAGTTCTACAACCTTTTTACTGGCAACCAAACTTTTTTACTCACATATTTCACATAATGTAAATAGAACACTTCTATCAGGCCCTAGATGAGATCTGGGTTCAAATTTAGGAGCTTAACACAAACTGTAATTAAAAAAAAGTTTGGTAATCAATAAAAAATTTGCAGATTATCAAAAGAAAAAAAATCTTGGGGTGACAACCCTGCTTGACTACAGCAGTAGTTTTACACCATGCTGCCCCGACCCAAGGGTCCCCTACTCACCCTCAAATTCTGATGCCCCCAACCATATCCCACACCATGCTGCCCTCCCCACCCACCCCATAGCCTGACTCCTTGTCCCAGCACAGACCCCCAAAGAAGGACTACCTGCAACTCAAAAGTGTTACAGGCAGTCAGTGTGATGCAGCAACAGCAAGTGCCCATGGCTGGGTGGGGAGAGAGCTACAAGGGCTTTCATCAGCTATGAAGACCTGAGAGAATGCTCTCAGCAGTGTACAGCACCTACATCCAGACGCTAGAATCTAGTGACTAGATGGTACTGCTCTGCTCTGTCTGTTCAACTTCCTTCCAGCCTCTTTCTGATGATCTTCAACCCACTTCTTTTGTTTTTTGGGAGGGTGTTGGTTTGGTTTGGTTTTTGTTTTTTACAGACTTTACAAACGAGCATTTCTATCCTGTTTTTTAAGGACTGTCTGTAAATTTATGGACAGCCCAGCTAGCAAAACTGTTACTTCTTTACTATAAAGAGCTTATAATAGAAGTTCTTGTAAATAAAAGTGTTGTTTCCACATCAGAAGCCTCATCAAGATCATAGCAGCAGTTCACCTGCTGCTTCAGATACAAACTACAGTGCTCAGCCAATAGATACAGCTGTGAGAGAGTTAACACCAGACTGCACCCCTTCAGTTTGCTAAGCAGGCACAAGCAGCAGCCATCTTGGCAGCTACATGGCATGCAGTGTTTACATAAGGGTTTTTTTTCCAAGCAAAGAAAACAGCTTCCTCACTTAAAACACAGACCCTGATTTTGGGGTAAAAAGGTACATATTATATATAAGAAAATACAGTATAAAGGGTGCTTCCATTCCAAAATGACTGAAGGTAGCACTGGAGGACTCCATAATTATGGTCTCAGTGAACTTTACATCCAATTCACAAGTAATTTTTAACTGCCAGTCCCAACGATATATTGGAGGCTCCAACAGATAAGCTAGGTTCTTTCCCTCCTAAAACACACAAGCAAACAAAAATCTGTTCAGCTAAATTCTGACCACAGCTTTGCTTACATAATCTGCATTTAGACAACAGCAAAACTTCTTTAGATAGGTAAACGTCCCTCATAACTTTAGTATCCGAGTACTTTACACAATTAACATTTATCCTCCTTATCTCCAATTACTAAACCTATTTCACTGATGAAAAACTGAGGTACAGTTATTCCAACTTAGTCACAAGAGATAATGATGATAGAGCAGAAATTGAATCCAGATTAGAGTCATAATCAACAGCCTTAACAATAAGACTAGTTTTCCTGTATAACTATATTGTTATAGTGATTTAGATAAGTAGTCTACTATCTGTATGGGGCATAATCTGAAGATGAAAGTACTGTACCGGTGCATAATCAAGGCTATGGAAACATTACTGCTGGCAGCAATAAAAATAAAGCCGATTTCATTCTATCCAACCCCAGGATGACGTGAAGCACTAGCAGTTAGTAAATACACCTTTTTATTAGAAAATTGAACAAGTTTGGTATAGGTATGAACTGGACACCAATAACATTTTTACTGTTAAGTCTGGGTATATATTTCTGCTTTAGAATGTAGTTGTCTAGGTCTTCTTGGTTAATATTTGTAAGATTCTTTACAAGTGTGTGCAAAAAACTCAGAATATCTAAGGATAGGGTCAATTTTTAAGGGTACATCAATAAACATTTTCTTGGCAGATAGCTGATGATTAGCCAACCACATCAGCCGACGTCTATCTGATAACCGGCATTTAGTAACAGTGCAAAGCATTTTAAACTACTGACATTAAATCTACTTTTGTTTGTTTTGTATTTATAAACACACATGCCTGCTCCAGCCCTTGATGAGGAAGACAGTGACCACCTTATTCCCTTGCATGCCACTCCCTTGCCCACAGCTCCTACAGTGCAGCCCATGCTGCTGTCCCAGGTGGGCAGGGCAGACCCTCACGTAGACAGCAGCACCAGGTATGTCAGAAACACCACAGCACACCACTGCCTCAATGCCAGCAGGACCCATGCAGCTGAGTTCCTGCAGCTGCCAGGAAGAAGCTGCTTTCCCAAAGGTGCCGCAAGTGGAATATCCCTCACATGGCACTTTACCCCACCCACACGCAGCCCAATATATCCACAACAGCCCCAGTGCTCAGGCCACTGCTGCGCATGTGGCATTGCCATGGCAGCAGCAGTAGGAGCCAGTAACAGTCCCTTTGTTGCTGGGCATGGTGCCCTGTAACCGTTCCCCCACTACCCCCAATGCTTGCCAGGATCTGTAGTTTGCCATGGGCTTGGGCCAGTGGCACATGGGGACTTGACTACACTCGCCAGGGTGCTCCAGGCACGTGTCCATAATTATCAGCTATTCTTTTATTGGTGCCAAACCAACAGCAAACCAATATATATCAATGCATTCCTATAGATTTTCCCAATGGATTATTTACTCTGGAGCTTCACAATAACCCAGATAAAAAATGTGTACAGAATCACACAGTACCACAGATGCCAAAATATGGGGAAAATAATTTGGTGAAAAAGTGACTGAATGAAAAGAAAAATGCTAAATTGTATCTAATTTTACAACTGTCTGTGGAGCATTTATAGATATTTTGTGTTTGCCATAGTTCAGTACCACATCTGGTTTAAAAGTGTCACAGCAGAAATGTATTTGTTTTGGGTAAGGAGACATAAGGTCCCAAAACCCTACCACTTACCCAAGAGAAGCCGGGGGGGGGGGGGCCGGAATCTTGAAATGAGGCCCCACAGACCCAGGGAAATCCAGGCATTTGAGATACCAGCAATAAAGTACTGAAAAGCTCATTAGCAAGCTGCCTCCAGCTCACTCCTCTTATTAAAAGCAGTACCTAGGAATCCCAATCAAATAGCAAGAGTTGTACAAGGTTAGTCACTTTAAAGGCAAACAATTAACACTCTCTTCTCCCAAAAGAACCTACAATCTTCACTGCTCCTAGAGACCCAAGATCTCTGATTTTTACAATTTTCTGTCTGCTGATGTGTCCCAACTGCTTCGTGCCTAGCATGGATTTTCCTAGCCACATTCTTATTCACTTATGCCCTCACATCATTCTCCATACCTTATCCCTGTCCAAAAAGAAAGTGAACCCATGTGTTCTTTGCCATTTCCTACTCTTTGATCATATGCCTTTCCCACTGTACCTGTTTTTAGGCAGTGACCTTGTCGTCTTAAGCACATTCCATTTGCTACACTGTTATGGTTATGGCTTTTTAGAACCACTGCAACAATGGCCCAACCAGGTAGTCCTAACAGAAAATATGACCTGTAAAAAAATGGCTCGTTTAATACATTGTGGCCCCCACCTCCCACACATACAACTTCAGCAACTATTTTGTGTTGAGACCTAATGAACAGGGGGTTTATTTAATAAAAGTACTAATCAGCATCAAGAAAGCTGCTACAACTAGCAGAATTAAACTGAATAAGAGCAAAAATAATCAAAACACGAATTAGGGACAGATCCTGTATGCCCAGCCTGCATTTAAAAACAAGATGTTTACTTCTAGGACACTTTAAAACATTTCTCCTTTCTAGAATTATACAATATTTTTAGAGATACATCGATATATCAGTGCCATAGTGGACTGACACTGATAAAAGGAAAATTAACATTATTGGCTATCTGCTTTTTTTGGTTGGTATAGCAGATAAATGTCACCAAAAAATATAATATGCCTTCTGCCCAGCGCCCCTGGACACTGTGTGTATGCGTGCAGCTGCACACATGCATGTGACTAAAATTCAGTTGAGCAGTGTGGAGACCAGCACCCTGCAGATAAATCTGTGGAGGGGAAGGAGCAGCAGATCAAGGCCCCCACAGTGAGGGAGGGAGCGGGGCAGAAGAAGCAGAAAGGGCAGGGGTTGGGGGTGGTGCCTAGCCGGGGTGGTGAATGGGACCCAGGGCTGGGGCAAGGAGCAGGATGGAGCTGCAGGCAGCTCATCCAAGGGGGCAAGGGGGGGGGGGAGATGGTGCAGCTTCCCATCACTGCATGCAGCCCCCCCTCAGATTTGTGCACAGGGCAAGGGCAGAGGCAGGCTGCCTGCTGTGGCCTTTGTGCTCTCTGCTTTGCTGCCTCTGCCTTGGGAGCTGCATACTATCTGCATGTCCCCTGCCTACCCGGACAGTGGGGGCAACGAGTTGTGCCTCCTGCTGCTGGGTGGGAAGGGAACATGCAGCAAGCACATGGCAGCAGAGAGGAAAGCCCAAGTCCATAACAGGCAACCCAACCTGCCTCCACCCTCACCCTGCTCAGCTGTGCTCCTAAAAGGATCTCTGCACTTAAAAACAGTGGCAACGATGCTTGAACTAAAGCTCATTTGATGAGCTTAATTCAAGCGCCCTGCCGCCATTTTTAAGCACTGGGAGGCTGATCCCCAGGCGAGCCACTTGTGGCTCTGTTCTGCTCCCTCCTCCGGCCCTGGGGTCCCATCCACTGCCCTGCAAACCCAGTCCCTGCCCCACTCCCTCCCTCACTGTGGGGACCCTCCCCCCCCACAAATTTACCTGCAGGGTGCTGCTCTCCATGCTGCCCAGCTGCATTCCTGTAAATCAGTTGGGATCAGAATTGGCCAATATGCCGGGTGAATAATTGGCTATCAGTATAAACCAAGAAAATCTTTATTGGTGCACTCATAGTATTTTTCTCAGCTAGAATGGCCTATGAGCTATTGAACTATTTGAGCTATTCCTCAAATATATTGGGAGGATCAAGAAGGCGCCGGGTAATGTGGGACCCCTGCAGGATACGCTGGGCAATCTGGTGGTTGCGTCAGAGGAGAAAGCAGACCTCTTTAACCAATTCTTCACCTCCGTTTTCTTGTGCAGGGACCGGGACTTCCCTGCTGTGATAGAAGCCGGACTCGAGGGGATCGCCTTCAGACCTCAGGTTGGGGAGGACCGGGTTAGAGAGCTTCTGGAGGGGCTGGACGCGTTCAAGTCAGCGGGTCC